CTGAGAGACAGTTTGTTATAATTTCTGTTCTTTTACATTTGCTGAGGAGTGCTTTCCTTCCAACTATGTGGTCAATTTTGGAATAAGTATGATGTGGTGCTGAGAAGAATATATAGCATTAGGAGATATACCTAAAGTAAATGATGAGTTAATAGGTGCAGCACACCAACATGGCACATGTATACATATGTAACAAACCTGCATGTTGTGCACATGTACCGTAGAACTTAAAGTATAATAAAAATAATAATAATTTTAAAAAGCTGTTAGCAGTCAGACATCAAAAAATTGATTATTTGATACACAGCTTTTTAATAGAGATTGCTTCCTGTCGAGGAATTCCTTACCCAGAAAAGGAAGTGCAACAATGAGCTCTTGCCCATGGATATAACTGGGCCTACCACATACCCCATCAACCAGAGGCGACTGAACTAACTGAAAGGTTGAATGGGCTTCCTGAAGACTCAGTTATGGTACCAGTTGGGAAACTACACCCCAAAATATAGGGTCCTGTGTTAGAGGATGCAAGACATTATTTGAATCAAACTATTGTATGCTATTATCTCCCCCATATATCGGCCTGAGAATCAAGGGGAGAAAGAGTGAGTTGTTCTCTAACTACTATTACCAGTAACCCATTCCAGCAAACTTGAGGTTGGAGGTCTTATTCCCCAAGAGGAAGTGCTTCAACCAGGGACATATCAGTGGTTCCAGTGAATTGGAAGATGAGACAGCCACCTGGCCATTTTGGATTCTTCATGCCTCTGAATCAACAGACAAAAAAAAGCAGGGGTTATTCAAATGGCTGGTGTGACTAATCCTGATTATCAAGGGGAAATCAGGTGGTTGCCACCAAGTGAGGGCGAGTATGACTACCTGGAACTCTGGGTATCCTATGGAGTTCCTCTTAGTCCATCCATGCCCAGTAGTAAAGGTTAACAGAAAACTATACATGCTCCCCTCCTAATCAAAGGCAGAACAGTTGAGGACTCACACACTTCAGGAATGAAGATTTGGGATACTTCACAGGTAAATAATTCTGGCCAGATTCTGGCTGAGGGAAGGGGAAATATGAAATGAGTAATGAAGAAGAAAGCCATCGACATCAATTATGGCTTCATGACCAATTAGAGAAATGAGGACTGTAGTAAGTTTGCATATTTCCTCTTTGCTTATGGATGTATATATTTATTTGTATATGCTAACAAATTTTCCTTCTTTTTCTCTCTTCTGCTTTTTTATTTTGTATATAAGTTGTCATAAATAGCTCTTATTATTTTGAGCTGTGTTCCATCAATACCTAGTTTACTGAGAGTTTTTAGCATGAAGGGGTGTTGAATTTTATCGAAGGCCTTTTCTGCATCTATTGAGACAATCGTGTGGTTTTTGTCATTGGTTCTGTTTATGTGATGGATTATGTTTATGATTTGCATATGTTGGACCAGCCTTGCATCCCAGGGATGAAGCCGACTTGATCATGGTGGATAAGCTTTTTGATGTGCTGCTGGATTCGGTTTGCCAGTATTTTATTAAGGATTGTCACATCGATGTTCATCAGGGATATTGGCCTGAAGTTTTCTTTTTTTGTCATGTCTCTGCCAGGTTTTTGTATCAGGATGATGCTGGCCTCATAAAATTAGGGAAGAGTCCCTCTTTTTCTATTATTTGGAATAATTTCAGAAGAAATGGTACCAGCTTCTCTTTGTACCTCTGGTAGAATGCAGCTGTGAATCCATCTGGTCCTGGGCCTTTTTTGGTTGGCAGGCTATTAATTAGTGCCTCAATTTCAGAACTTCGTGTCTATTCAGGGATTCTAATTCTTCCTGGTTTAGTCTTGGGAGGGTGTATGTGTCCAGGAATTTATTCATTTCTTCTAGATTTTCTAATTTATTTGCATAGAGGTGTTTATAGTATTCTCTGACAGTAGTTTGTATTTCTGTGGTGTCAGTGGTGATATCCCCTTTATCATTTTTTATTGTCTACTTGATTCTTCTCTCTTTTCTTCTCTATTAGTCTGGCTAATGATCTATCTATTCTGTTAGTCTTTTCAAAAAAAACAGCTCCTGGATTCATTGATTTTTTTTAAAGGATTTTTTGTGTCTCTATCTCCTTCAGTTCTGCTCTGATCTTAGTTATTTCTTGTCTTCTGCTAGCTTTTGAATTTGCTGTTGCTTCTCTAGTTCTTTTAATTGTGATGTTTGGGTGTCGATTTTAGATCTTTTCCACTTTCTCCTGTGGGCATGTGGTGCTATAAAATTTCCCTCTAAACACTGCTTTAGCTGTGTCCCAGAGATTCTGGTACGTTGTGTCTTTGTTCTCACTGGTTTCAAATAACTTTTTTATTTCTGCCTTCATTTTGTTACTTACCCAGTAGTCACTCAGGAGCAGGTTGTTCAGTTTCCATATAGTTGTGCGGTTTTGAATGAGTTTCTTAATCCCGAGTTCTAATTTGATTGCATTATATTCTGAGAGACTGTTTATGATTTCCATTCTTTTGCATTTGCTGAGGAGTCTTTTACTTCCAATTATGTGGTCAATTTTAGAATAAGTGCGATGTGGTACTGAGAAGAATGTATATTCTGTTGATTTGGGGTGGAGAGTTCTGTAGATGTCTATTAGGTCTGCTTGGTCCAGAGCTGAGTTCAAATCCTATTCTTGTTAATTTTATGTCTCGTCGATCTGTCTAATATTAACAGTGGGGTGTTAAAGTCTCCCACTATTATTGTGTGGGAGTCTAAGTATCTTCATAGGTCTCTAAGGACTCGCTTTATGAATCTGGATGCTCCTGTACTGGGTTCATATATATTTAGGATAGTTAGCTCTTCTTGTTGCATTTATCCCTTTACCATTATCTAATGCCCTTCTGTGTCTTTTTTGATCTTTGTTTGTTTAAAGCCTGTTTTATCAGAGACTAGGATTGCAACCTCTGCTTTTTTTTTTTTTCTTTCCGTTTGCTTGGTAAATATTCCTCCATCCCTTTATTTTGTGCCTATGTGTGTCTTTGCATGTGAGAAGGGTCTTCTGAATACAGCACACTGATGGGTCTTGACTCTATCAAATTTGCCAGTCTGTGTCTTTTAATTGGGGCATTTAGCCCATTTATATGTAAGGGTAATATTGTTATGTGTGAATTTTATCCTGTCATTATGATGCTAGCTGGTTATTTTGCCCATTAGTTGATGCAGTTTGTTCATAGTGTTGGTGATCTTTACAATTTGGTATATTTTTGCAGTGGCTGGTAACAGTTTTTCCTTTCCATGTTTAGTGCTTCCTTTGGGAGCTCTTGTAAGGCAGGCCTGGTGGTGACAAAATCTCTCAGCATTTGCTTCTCTGAAAAGGATTTTATTTCTCCTTCACTTATGAAGCTTAGTTTGGCTGAATATGAAATTCTGGGTTGAAAATTCTTTTCTTTAAGAATGTTGAATATTGGCCCCCACTCTCTTCTGGCTTGTAGGGTTTCTGCAGAGAGATCCACTGTTAGTCTAATGGGCTTGCCTTTCTGGGTAACCCGACCTTTCTCTCTGGCTGCCCTTAACATTTTTTCCTTCATTTCAACCTTGGTGAATCTGATGATTATGTGTCTTGGGGTTGCTCTTCTCAAGGAATATCTTTGTGGTGTTCTCTGTATTTCCTGAAATTGAATGTTGGCCTGTCTTGCTAGGTTGGGGAAGTTCTCCTGGATAATATCCTAGAGAGTGTTTTCCAACTCAGTTCCATTGTCCCCATCACTTTCAGGTACACCAATCAAATGTAGGTTTGGTCTTTTCACATAATCCCATATTTCTTGGAGGCTTTCTTCATTTTGGAGTTTAGCACTACAGTATAATCTTTAAGGAACAGGTATTCAGTGGGACTATGACAGAATATGAGGAGTAATTAATACAACAGCAGTGGATACAATGACTGTTGGGACTGGTACAACTTTTAATTTTAGGGAAAGGGTAAAAACTTCACTTATAAGAAGGATAAGGTTTTAAAATGTGCATGACCATTTTATGGTTCTTATTACATATACCTAGATTGGTTTCTGAGATAATTTGACTAATATAAATTGTGGTCAAATAACTCGTGGTCAAATAAATTGTGGTCAAATAACTAATATAAATTGTGGTCAAAATGTGTATTTCTTTGCCCATTTTATCATTGTATTTAATGATATTTATTATTTTAACCTTGCATAATTGAAACTCTTTTTTTTGTATTTTGGCATACTTTTATTTCAAGCCTTTTGTGGGGTGCATATACCTTTTTTGTTTTTTTTCTATTGAGATGGAGTTTTGCTCTTGTTGCCCAGGCTGCAGTGCAATGGCGCGATCTCGGCTCACTGCAACCTCCACCTCCCGGGTTCAAGTGATTCACCTGCCTCATCCTCCCGAGTAGCTGGAATTACAGTTGCCCACCACCATGCCCAGCTAATTTTGTTGTATTTTTAGTAGAGGCAGGGTTTCACCATGTTGGCCAGGCTGGTCTTGAACTCCTGACCTCAGGTTATCCTCACTCCTCAGCCTCCCAAAGTGCTGGGATTACAGGCATGAGCCACCACACGCAGCCCGCACATACCTTTTAAAGAAAGTTTAGCTTTACGAGTTTGTACAATTTCATGTCCTGATTTTAAATTTATTTATTAATTTAATTTTTTTTACTTTTGTTTTAGGTTTGGGAGTACATGTGAAGGTTTGTTACGTAGGTGAATTTGTGTCACGCGGGTTTGTTGTACAGATTATTTCATTATCCAGGTATTAAGCCCAGTACCCAATAGTTATCTTTTCTGTTCTGCGTGACTGAAACTGTATACCCATGAACAGCAACTACCATTTCCATTCTATGTTCTGCTTCTATCATGTTGCCTATTTTAGATACATTGTTTTTGGTTTTGGGGTTTTTTTTTTTGAGACTGAGTCTCTCTCTGTCTCCCAGGCTGGAGTGCAGTGGCACAATCTCGGCTCACTGCAGCCTCTGCCTTCCTGGTTCAAGCGATTCTCCTGCCTCAGCCTCCAGAGTAGCTGGGATTACAGGCGTGCACCACCATGCCCAGCTAATTTTTGTACCGTTAGTAGGGATTGGGTTTCATAATGTTGGCCAGGGTGGTCTTGAACTCCTGACCTCATGAGCTGCACTCCTCGGCCTCCCAAAGTGTTGTGATTACAGGTGTGAGCCACTGCGCCCAGCCCACATATACCTTTTAAAGAAAGTTTAGCACTTCAGGTTTGCAAAATTTCATGTCCTGATTTTAAATTTATTAATTTATTCTTTTTAACTTTTATTTTAGGTATGGGAGTACACGTGAAGGTTTTTTCCATAGGTGAATTTGTGTCACAAGGGTTTGTTGTACAGATTATTTCATTACCCAGGTATTAAGCACAGTACCCAATAGTTATCTTTTCTGTTCCGCATGTCTGAAACTCTGTACCTGTTGAACAGTAACTACCATTTTCATTCTACATTCTGCTTCTATCAGTTTGCCTATTTTACATACATTGTATAATTGGAATCACACAGAATTTGTTTTTTTTGTGATTAACTTATTTTACTTAGCATAATATCCTCACGGTTCCTCCATGTTGTAGCACTTGACAGGATTTTCTTCTTTTTTAAGACTAAATAATACTACATTGTATGTATATACATTGCATTTTCTTTTCTTTCCTTTTCTTTTTCTTATTTATTTATTTAGAGACAGAGTCTCACTCTGTCACCTACGCTGGAGTACAGTAGCATGATCATGGCTTACTGCTGCCTCAACCCCCTGGGCTTAAGTGATCCTTTTGTCTCAGCTTCCTGTGTAGCTGTGACTAAAGGTGCATGCCACCATGCCCAGCTAATTTTCTAGTTTTTCATTTTTGTAGAGCTGGGATCTCACTATGTTGCCCAAGCTGGTGTTGAACTCCTGGGCTCAAGTGATCCTCTCATCTCAACCTCCAGAAGTGCTTGGATTACAGGTGTGAGCCACCACAGCTGACCCAATACTACATTTTCTTTAGCCATTCATCTGTCAATGGACATTTAATATGTTCATTCTTTGTTTTCACTATTCCTTGACCATTTGCAGGCACATATGCCATTTGTTGCCTATGTTCAAAGTGAACAGCCTTCACTTCCTGTTTCTTGAGGCTATAGATGAGGGGGTTCAGCAAGGAGGTGATCACACCTCTATACAGTATGCAAGTATGAGATTGTGCATACTGTATAGAGACCGCTTGCTCCAGACCTGATCCTAAAGGTGGACTGATGTGCTTGAATAGAGCTGTCTCATAGAACAGAAGCACCATGGTGAGGTGGGAGGAGCAGGTTTTGCCTTGGCCCCAGAGAAAGAAATACCTAGAATGGCAAACATAATTTTTGAGTAAACAAAGAGGATCAGAGGAAATGTCACAAGTCTCGAGAAATGCAATAGATCCAGCTAGCAGAATGGTGTTAGCATGGAATCAGTGCAGGACAGAGGGAAGCATGAAGGCCGTTCACAACTGAAGTGGAGAATGATATTGGGACCACAGAACTGCAAGTTTGGATACAAAGATTGTTCACTTGTGAGTTCAGAAACCCCATCTTGTTTGTTGCATTGACTGTTGCGGTGCAGAGAGGTTGGTTCATGACCGTGGTAGAAAGCAGAGGGTGGCAGATGGCAGCATAGCAGGCATAGGTGATGGCAGAGAGCAAGCAGCCTGTGGTGCCCCAAGAAAAAATGAAAAAGAAACTCTGGGTGATACAGCCCCACACCAAGGTAGTTTTTTATGAAACAGGAAATTCTGCAGCATCTTGGGCAATGACTGAGGAGTAACATATTATCTAGGAAGAAAAAAATCCCAAGGAAGAATTACTTGGGGGTAGGGAGGCAAGAATCAGCATTGATTACCAACGGCATCATCAGATTCCCTATCAGGGTCGGAGATAAATCACCAGGAACAGCACAAAGAGTGGGGTCTGTATCTGGGGGCCACTGGACAGCCCCAGTTAATTCATCAATAATGCTTTTGATGATTTCTTAGAGATACTATCCCTAGAAAGAAATATTCACATTTCATCTGGGAGGACAATGATCTGAGTCCTTCTCAGTGATTTTAACCTATAAAGAATTCACCTTGGCAGAGCGCAGTGGCTCACACCTGTAATCCTACCACTTTGGGAGGCCGAGGTGGGCAGATCATGAGGTCAGGAGATCAAGACCATTCTGGCTAACACAGTGAAACCCCGTCTCTACTAAAAATACAAAAAAATTAGCCAGGCGTAGTGGCGGGCGGCTGTAGTCCCAGCTACTCGGGAGGCTGAGGCAGAAGAATGGCGTGAACCCTGGAGGCGGAGCTTGCAGTGAGCCGAGATTGCGCCACTGCACTCCAGCCTGGGCGACAGAGCGAGACTCCGTCTCAAAAAAACGAATCACCTTTTAGCTTCAATCCGGATATTAAATCTGAGGACAAAGGAATATCAAATTACTCCATTAAATACTGCAGCTTTCCTTCTCTTGCCAAGCTCTCCTAAGCCCCATATCCAGCTCATCTTCTTTTCCCCCATAACACTTGATGCTTTCTAACAGATACTTGACTTAGTACATTAAATAATTATCTCTGCCTTCTAGAATTTATATTATACTATATTACACACAGGCAGGAAAATTTGTCTTTTTTTTTCCCCTAGGGAGTGTATGGCAAACGCACCTGATAGCAGTAACTTAAGCATACCCTGAGAATGACCCTGTACCGCAGACACACCTGAATGTGTGTTCCAAGCTAGGGAATCCGGAAGTGGCCAGCGCAGAGATTTGTTCCTTGTCCATGAGGAACAGGTGAGCCTCCGGCTCGTCCAGTAGAATGTGGGCCATACAGGGGATCAAGGTCTTTTGTTTCGGGTTAAGTGAAAGTTGCCAGATGGAGACTCTTTTGCGGTGGCGGCGCAGGGAGGTGGGGGAGTTGGGGGCAGGGGTTGCTAAGTGACATTGCTATATAAACTACAGGCCTTTTGCAAGCAGTTGCAGTTCTTCTGCCCAGTCCGCCATTGCTGTATTGTACCTAAGATGGTTCTCCTGTCCAGTCTGCTGCCACTGGACAGTGCAGTTATCTTATCTAGCCCATCGCCACTGGACTCTCCCCTGTATGTAAGCCCCCAATAAAACTCCATGTCTCATTTGCTGGCTCTGAGTCTCTTCTTTGGCCTCTTGAACCAGGTGCCATCCCCACTGGAGTTGATAGGGGTTCAGCATAACACTGATGCACTCCCCAACGCCAATAATTGTCACTGTCTTAAAAAACTTTTGAGTAAGAGAAGATGATCAGGGAAGTGTCACAGTCCTAGAAACGCAGTAGACCCAATTAGAAGGCTCTCAGTATTTGCCGAATGAAAGAACGAATGCCTCCTCAGCTATAATGTCTTCCCCTAACCCTCATGCTACCAGCTCTCTGCTTAGAAGCAAGACACCTCGCCCAGTCTCTATCCTCTTGTACTCTTCCCCAGCCTTTCAGCTGGTAACATCCAAGATTAGGTGAGCCCTAGAGTTGAAATGAGTAGAAAGATGCCAAAGTGAGAGAAACTCTTTTGTGGGAGACCATTTTTCCGAACAATTGGAGCTTAAATTCTTAGCACGTTTCAACTAAAAGGAACATTCAGAGGCATGTTATCTGACCTCTGTATTTTCACATAATTACAATGTGGAACAGGGAAATGACATGACTTGCACAAGGTCACATAGCTAGATGGTTTCAGAGCCAAGACCAAGCAAGGTGTTCTGATTTCTCAGCCAGTTCTCTTTCTGATGCGCCACACATGGGCAATAGATATTTGTGGATTTAAGCAGTTTTGCATTGAGCCGGGTGTAGACTGGGCAGGACAGGAGTGACCGCAATATTTCTTGGTCCTGTGAGTTTGCAACATGCCTTAAGGTTCTACAGCAGCTACTATGGTGGTAAAGTGAGCACTAGACTCAGAGTTAGGAAGCCCTTGCTGATTACCTTGAAAAGTCTGTGAAAACTTTTCAAGACGTAACCTTCCCCAATGCAAAATGGGTATAAAATTGGAGCAAATGTGATTAAAATCTTCATAAGATATGACATACTTTTAACAAAAGTTTTAAAAAATATGTATAAGACTGAAATAGAATATGAGTAAAAGAAAAATTTGAGATCTTTTGGTGTCTAGATTGTGCACAACTTTCCCCATGAAATATTTCACCTGTACTGTAAAATTATGTTTTCAGTAAACGCATTTTTTTAGATAGGAAAAGTGCTTTCTGGCTCACAGTTCCTCTCAGCCGGACTTCCAAGCCTTTTTCATTATTTATTCTCTCCGGACAGTCACTCTCCTCTTTCTTGCCAAGACATGCTGACTCACCCTTGTATTTTATATTGTTATCCCATCAGAAAACAAACAAACAAACACTTTTTCTTTCCTTGCCTCCTTCAAACCTCATTTCCTTATTCTTATTGCTGTTCCCACCTACTTACATACTCATATGATAACTAGCATTTATTTTATGCATAATATATTTCAGACATCATAACAGAATGCTGTTGATCTCATTTAATTCTCACAAAAACTGATAATACAGATATTTCTGACCCCATTTCTGTGGGTCAGGAAGGTTAAGTGGCACACTCAGTCACACACCTTACAAAGTGGTGGAATTGCGACTCATGCCCAAGGCCCTTTGACTTCAAATCCTATGTTTTTACTGCTTTGCAATACTGCAAAAGTGTGCTTATGGGAAAATCTTTCTTGGTTTGGAGATTATGCATTTTCTTGAGGAGACTTGGGAGTCCAGGCAGGAATGTGAAGTGGCCCTGGGCATTTGAGCTATTGACCATGCCTGGAACTTCTTCCTCAAATTGTCCCAATGCTCACAAATATATGGGCATGAGGAGTCTGACCTCTTGGAAGAAAGATGGGGACTTCTGGGTTACGGAAAATTCCAGGAAGAGAAGACTAAGGTAAAGCCAGATGGAGGATTGAAGGCAATTCAGACTTAAAGAAGTAGAACTCTACAAGGATGGGGAAAATGGGGTGTCAGAGAGGGCACTTCCAGTTTTCCCTCACTTGTTTTCCTACCTGAAGCATCTGGTGGTGATGCATCAAGTAAGTAACACGGGAAGGACTAGGATTTATTCATACAAAGAACAGTCTTCTTCTTGTCCCTTTCCTAAAAATAGCAATAGCAAATTTAACTTTTCATTTTTGATCTTTCTCTTTATCATACTCTTTCTAATATAGCCACTGTGCTATATTAGAAACACATCTGGAGGCACAGCATTGACCTCAACTGAACTCTAGAAACCCCCAGGATCCCAGACTCTAGTGAACTTTCCAAGTGTGTTCCGTGGAGCACAAATATGCTGCCCGCGAGCTGCAGGGGCCGCTGCAAGCGCTGAGAGGCTGGTCCCGTGTGTCGGTCTCTGCCTACCCCACCTCATGTACTGTAATCACCATGGCTCTTCATTTATTTGTTTATGTATGTGACTTTTGCAGTGAGTTTTATTTTAATGAACAAATTATTTAGCTAATAAAGCAACTTTTAAAATGAGTCACTTAAGGAATCTTTGATCAGAAGTAAGGAGAAAGACTCTTTCTCTGGTCTCTATATTCACCACTCCACTCATCTTTCATCTCAAAGAAAGCTTTTTTATTTGTTTTTGTCCAGATCCTGATACGTGAAAAAACAGAATAGAAAACCCCAATGGGCAAGTGGATAGAGAGGTCAGACTTAGAGGACAGTCACTACCTGATTTTGTGACTTTGAGCAACAATCTTACCATCCTTGGTACAGTTTCTAATTATAATAAGAAGTTTATTTTAAAAAAGAAATTTATAACTAAGGCCCATTCAGATCCCCCCCAATTCGAGTAGGTCTGGCTCCCTTACCTCTTCAGTGAACAGGGCTGTCCCGGGTCCAGAATGCACACTGCATTTTGAGCTAGGCTGTCAGCTGCCTCCACAGTAGGGATGCAACGTGTGCAAGAAAACTCTCTCCAGCAGTAGTTGTCTTCCACAGAGGGCTCCAATTGCATTTCCCACAAAGCACGCTTAGCTCACAGTCAATGCTAGGTCTGAAGTCATGCTCAAACTCAGAGCAGTTCCCTTCAAGGTCACTTCTCGGTAGAGGCTAAGGTACTGTGACATCCAGTGGAGGTTTTCTTGAGTCTTTTGGTCCCAGCTAAGAGAATCTGGTACTTCTTATTTTACTCTTTTGTCTCCTTCAGTCCTGCGGAAAGCTCTTGACTACTTTGTGTGACCTGTCTCTATTTCTTCAATTTGTTGGTAATATTGCGCCAGGTGAGATGTTGAGTAAGTACCCAGAGATAGCACCATTCTTCTTGAGCATCTCCCGGAACCAACCGTGTTCTTTTTCTTCTCTTGTATCCACCTTTCCATCAAGACTTTCTACTCAGCTTATTTGTAGAAACGACTTATGTTTCTCCGTTTAAAAACAGAGCAGGAGCACTTAGTAACCCCCTTTCCTCCAGAAGAAGCCCTAAAAATATAATCAAGTTTGAAAACCTTCCATGAATAATACATTGACTTTAAAGGCCTCTACATATGAAAACACTAAGATTTAGATATTTCTGTTGAAGAGAAAGAGGAAAGTACAAGTTAGTGAAAATTTAACCTTCACCCATCTGTATTTTAATTCATTTCTGAGATTGTCCCAATCCTTCAGAAAATAGACATATGTAATATACCACATATTATGTAACATGCCCATAATCAAACACATTACTATCTATAGTGAAATGTCTGAGTACTTCTAAGTGGGATAAAAGGCTGCAAATATCCTCATGTCAATTAACTTCCAATTTTCCTCCAAATTAGTTTCGGGAAAAAAAAGTTTGGTTTTTAGAGCGTTTTGGAGAGTTTAGAATTAGAGATGAGGATTTATAAACTTGTTCTAAATGCTTATATTAATGTTTTTTATTTCTATCTTTCTTATTGCACTTCTTGATCTGTCTGCTCTTGCAATAGCACTATTCTGTCTTTTTAAATTTTTTATTTTAAGTTCTCGGGTATATGTGCAAGATGTGCAGGTTTGTTTAATACGAAAACATGTGCCCATGGTGGTTTGCTGCACCTTCAACCCATTATCTAAGTATTAAGCCCAGCATGCATTAGCTGTTTTTCCTGATGCTCTCCCTCACCCTGCCACCCACATCCCCCACCCACCCCTGCTGACAGGCCCCAGCATGTGTTGTTCCCCTCCCTGTGTCCATGTTTTCTCACTATTCAACATGCATTGTTTGACTTTCTGTTCCTGCATTAGTTTGCTGAGGATAACGGCTTCCAGCTCCATCCATGTCCCTGCAAAGGACACGATGTCATTCCTTTTTATGGCTGCATAATATCCCATGGTGTATATGTACCACATTTCCTTCACCCAGAAGAAAATTCTTCATATCATTGATGGGCATTTGGGTTGATTCCATGTCTTTGCTATTGTGAATAGTGCTACAACAATCATACATATGCATGTATTTTTATAATAGAATGATTTATATTCTTTTGGGTATACACCCAGTGAGAGGATTGCTGGGTCAAATGGTATTTCCAGTTCTAGGTTTTTGAGGAATGGCCACACTGTCTTCCACAATGGTTTAACTAATTTACATTACCACCGACAGTGTAAAAGCGTTCTTATCTCTCCACAGCCTCGCCAGCATCAGTTGTTTTTTGACTTTGTAATACTTGCCATTCTGACTGGAATGAAATGATATGTCATTGTGGTTTTGATTTGCATTTCTCTAATTATCAGTGATGTTGAGCTTTTTTTCATATGTTTGTTGGCTGCATAAATGTCTTCTTTTGAGAAATGTCTGTTCATTTCTTTGCCCACTTTTTAATGGGATTTGTTTTTTCTTGTAAATTTGTTTAAGTTCCTTGTAGACTCTGGATACTAGACCTTTGTCAGATGGATATATTGCAAATTTTTTCTCTCATTCTGTAGGTTGTCTGTTTACTCTGATGATAGTTTCTTCTGCTGTGCAGAAACTCTTTAGTTTAATTAGACTCCATTTGTTGATTTTCACTTTTGCAATTGCTTTTGCCATTTTTGTCAAGTAATCTTTGCCCATGCCTATGTCCTGTATAGTATTGCCTAGATTTTCTTCTAGGGTTTTTATAGTTTGGGATTTTACATTTAACTC